TCCATTGTGCATCATACTGTGGTACATGTCATAGGGGCTGGAGCCTTTAGATCCATGGCAGAGAGCCCTCCCACTCAAAACTAACAGGGAAACTGATGAGAGTGTCTTTTCATCCAAGACTGACAGGGACAACAAGTATCCAGAGATCTGTGGTTCTATTACAAACTCTGAAATACTTGATTCTCCCTGCTTTCTTCTAGCACAGTTCATTCAGCTTCCTAATACCCCATCTTTCCCTGCCCTATTCTTCTTCATGACAGCTTTCTCCATCCTAGTCTTTTTCTATCCATTCTTACATTTTCTTCCCCCTCCAGTCTCCTTTCTATATCTCTTCATTAGATCCCACTCCCAGTTTGTGAGCATCACATCCCAGCTTCCTCTGCATTCCTTCCTACATGTTTCAGTCATACCAGCTCTGGGCTCTTTACCCAGGACTTTGTCCTTTTTTTATCCTTCATTTTTCTTTCAATCTTTTCTCAGTTGTTTCCTTTCAGTCCTCCCACCAAGGACAAAATTCCCCATGTGTCTAAGAGCTATACTGTCACAGCCACATCTGTTACTACAATCTCTTTCCCTTCAGCCTTGCTCGCTCACCTGCTCCCTGGGGATCAAACAATCTCTGGTCCAGCTCCACCCACCACCTGCTTGGGATAGGTCTGGAACACAATCACTGCCGCAGCTGCACAGCCATGCAGATATTCCCACAATAACTTCACACTAGCTAGTTCACCTCTTGCTGCCTCACGTGTACAGTGCTCAGCTGCAAACCCTACCAAGAAGGTGAGTAGAGATTAAGGACAACAGGCATGTATCTGTATCCCTGTCTACGTCTAAGGACAAACACCAGTACAAGCAAATAAAAATAAGACACTTGGCAATACATGAGTATATGGCAGAACTCTTTCCACAGTCGGTTTCTGTTTTCTTCTAACACTGGAAATCTGTCCAGATTTGAAAATGAAGTTAGGCTACACCCTAGTACTAGACCTGTGGTAAATTCTGATTTTGGTTTGCTATTGTGTGATGTATCACAGCTAGAAATTAAAGCTTTTATTAAGAGGAGAGTATTAGCTTTTATGTGGTGCACAGAGAACTTATTAGAAAACGAGGTATATTCAATCATGAGAAAGATCACGGAAGTGCAGTATGGTTATGCTTAGAGAGGCTGTTAAAGATCATCTTGAGCTTTCAAAAGGAGAACATTTTTTCTTCCTTTTTTTCCCCCAAGGCCAGGCTGGATGTGGCTCTGGGCAGCCTGGTCTGGTGGCTGGCGACCCTGTACACAGCAGGAGGTTGAAACTGGATGATCATTGTGGTCCTTGTCAACCCAGGCCATTCTATGATTCTATGATTCTATGATTCTATGATTCCATGATTCTATGATTCTATGATTCTATGATACTGGATACTGATACTAGCTTCTTCATCAGTGTCTACGGGATACTGCACAGCATTTTTATTCTCCAAAACATGTCCAAACGCTTTTTCCCAAATTACTTTTTCATTTACATATGCATGCAGAATGCAGGAGGGCATATTTTTATCCTGTGCCTTATCAAAATCACAGAATCACAGGATCACAGGGGTTGGAAGAGACCTCTGTTAAAGCATTAAGACAAACACCCTGCTAAAGCATGTTCCCTACAACAGGTCACAAGGAAAGCATCCAGATGGATCTTCAGTATCTGCAGAGAAGGAGACTTTACCACCCCTCTGGGCGGCCTGTTCCACAGCTCTGTCACCCTCAAAGTGAAGAAGTTTTTCCTTCTGTTTAGATGGAACTTCCTGTTTTCCAGTTTGTGCCCGCTGCCCCTTGCTTTGTGAGTGGGTACCACTGAAAAGAGCCTTGTTCCAACCATTTGAGTCATATTCTTCAGGTATTTATAAGCACAGATAAGATCTCCTCCCTCTCAGTCTCCTCTTCTCCACTCTGAGCAGCCCCAGGTCTCTCTGCTGGCTCACGGCCTACCTGTTGTTCACCAGGATGCCCAGGGCCTTCTCTGCAGAGCTCCTTTCCAGAAAGGGCATATATTTACACTTACTGCTTCTTAAAAATATTTTATATTTGCTGTCTGAGTTTTTAGAGCATGCTCACTACTGTTTCGCAGATCTTCCTCTACAATCTCTGTGCTTTTAAATGTTAAATGAGACTTTCCTACAGTCTTCGGATACTTCTGGGTAGTGCTTTGAGGAACAAACAAACTTCAAGATGCAAAGTGGAAGTGAACACATTGCGTCAGCAATGAGAAAATCGGAAAGCATTAGGAACTCCCACAAAGATAGGGGATGTCACAGATGTTTATAGCAGTTGGCTTAACTGTGCACAGCTACAGGTAGGCATCATACACCAGAGCAGAGGCCCATATATGTGCAGCATTCAGGCACAGTCACAGACACTGTATCTGTGTTGCTAATGTGCATATCAAGAGACTCCCAAATGCAAAGATCTCACTCAGAGAATATATCCAGGAGCACAGTTACTAGATCTCATGTACAAATCTCCAGCACAGATATAACTGGACACATGTTTTCAGTCTTACGTTGGTGGGATCCTGAGATTAAGTGTTGGAGGATGGAGATGTTTGGGTGAGGTTCATAAATAAAGGAGGAGAAGGGCTTGTTGGACCCATGCGGGGACGTATCTGTGGTGGTTGGGTGTGCAAATGTAGTTGAAAGTGCTTATGAATGGTGAATATCAATGTATACGCAGCTGAGATCAAATATTAGCACATGAGTAGTTCTAGAAATTTCAGGATATAGTCTTGGGGATTTGCATGAAGTTCTGAGAAAGACTTCAGGAACTGGAACTGGACATAGTGCTTTTTTTGGGGGAAAATGAGTGTTTGAAGCAGGCACAGCAGCAGAGTACAGGGGTTTCATTCTGTGGGATGCGAACAGTGTGGTTCATGTGCACTTACAGCACCAGCAGCGGGGTGGGAAGTGCCATCCATTCATGTCTGTATGGTGGGGGTACCTGGCCTCTATCCTCCATGGGGACTGCCATTTGCAAACTACCTTGATTTCCTCTGGAAGGACCCAGGCAGCCGTTCAGAACAAGAAACAAGCTCATTCTGCACAACACTGTACCAAAACAAAACCAAATCAAAACGATCAGGGAAGGTCAGCAAGAACAGGCAGTTACACCTGCCAGCTGGTAGAAGGGCAATTACTGCCAAAGCACACCTGAGCTTAGGGGTGTAGACTGGGAATATACTTGTACACGGACAATTAGGCCTGAACAGCTGACAGCTAACAGCGGGGCACAAAAAATGGCTGCTGAAACAAAGCCTGTGTGGGTGCTGTCTCATACCACCTGTAGGGAATAACTTACAACTTCACTTTGGTGAAGGCCTGCAACATCACCAGCGCTGGCTGTGCCACAAATTGCTGTGGGAAGTGTTGGGAAAAGTTTTCAATTAGCAGCACTTACATCTTGGATTCATTTTACCAGCCACTATATCATTACTATGCAGAGAATGCAAGTGATGCTGAGCTCATGGCAGGTTTTTTGTTTTGTTTTAGTTTGTTTTTTTTTGGTGGAGAAAGGCATGGCTGTGGCTCCTGGATGAGCACTGAGGACCCTCTGGATGGAGCAGGGTTGTAGGCCGGCAACTTGTGCTTGAGATGAGCACATGTTGATGAAGAGTGAGGTATGAATTCAGGTTTTGTTTCAAGGGGAGGTTTAAGATTGTATGTAAAAGAGCTAAAGGAAGAGGTTTTCTTTGTTGGAGGCAATGTTAATGAGAAGACTAGAGGACTGTAGGACTTCCAGCATGAGAGCCTGTAGGATGGAGCACAGCTATGCAGTAATAAATAGGGGTGCTGGGATCCTGGATATCTCATTAAAGTTCTTTAATTTTGAAGGCTGCCTTCTTTCCTGCTTCCTCTTCACCCTGAGCCACGGCCAGGTGGCCCTGCTCTCCTTCCTGCCTCTCATCCCACAGCTGCTTTTAGGCCCAGGCAAATCCTGCTCGTCCACAGCAGCAACCACATAGCAACAGCCTTTCCCAGGCAGTAGGGGACCCTCCTGGCACCACAGCAGCGGGCTGTGCCTGTGCTGGCAGGCAAGGTTCATGCTCTTTTCCTGCAGAGATCTTGCCTCAGTACCCTGTGAGCACCTCGGGTGCCACAGGAAGCCTAGAAGGTTGTCAAAACTCAGGGCAGAAACTCAGGACAAGCTGCGTCTATACATCCAGCTCCAGCGCTGTATTTCTGGGATGTTCTTAGGTACATACACACGAGTGAAGTGTGTGTGCCAGAGGGATGTGCCCATGCTATGGAGAAATACGACCCCAACCACGTGGGCAAGACACAACAGTGAGGCTGTTCTGGCTGAGATGCACCCCGGCCACACAATCACCCCGGCAGGGCCGCGGAAGATTCTGGAAGGGTGTCTGCGGACGCCCACCTGCGGGCACCTCAGCCGGCTGCACGGGACCCGCGGCCCCGGGGCAGGCGCGGAGGCTTCCCGGCACCGTTCTCTCCACCGCCGCGTGCGGTCTCGGGTGCGCGTGTGTGCACGGCGGGGGGAGCAGGGGGCGGACACAGTGGAAATTTCCACTCCCTGCAGCAGCCACAGCAGCCGCCACCACCGCAGCGGCGGGAAGGAGGAAGGCGGGCGCAGGCCCGGAGCCGCCGCAGGGGAGAGGCGGCTCCCGACCCGCCGCTCGGCCCGCCCGGCTCAGAGCCCCCTCCCCGGTGCCGGGCGTCCCCCATTCGGCCCCCCGGGGGCAGGGGCGGCGGGGCAGCCCCCGGGCGGGCCGTTGCTCGCGAGGCCGCGGCGGCGGAGGCGGTGCCTGCGGCGGGCGGGGGGCGGCGCGGCGGAGCGTGCGCAGCTGCCGGCGCCCTTTAAGCCGCGCCGCCCGCCCGCCTGCTCGGTGTGTGTGCAGCCCAGGAGCCGCGCGGGCGGGAGTCACCGCCAGCACAGCCGGGGACGCGCTTTCTCCTCTCTTCTTCCGTTACCCCCTGTCCGGCACCGCCGCCCTCTCTTCTTCCCCTGTGTCCCGCCAATCCCCGCTCCTCCCGCTACGGCCGAGCTCTGCGATGCCCCGCTATGAACTGGCTTTGATCCTGAAAGCCATGCAAAGGGTGAGTGAGGGAGGGGCGACGGGCGGGAGGGGACCGGCCAGGTGAGACCGGCAATCGGGGGGCTCCTCTCTTCCCCCTGTCACCCTATCCAGCCCCGTCCGCGGGGCGAGCAGCTCCCGCCCGGCCCTCCCTCGCTTCTCGAGGCGGAGTTGTGCGCGGCTCCCGGCCCTTTATCTCTTTCCCCTTTTCCGAATCTTCCCCCGCCGGGAGCTGTCGCAGCGCGGCTCTCCCCGCAGGTCCCCGCAGGTAAGCAGCTGCCGGCTGAGTGCAGTCCCGGCTTCGCCCTCCCGCGGTCCCCGCTGCCTCCCGGGCACTCCCCGCACCTGCCCCGAGCACCTCCCCGCCCGCGGTGCCCCCGGGCCTCGCCCCGCAGCGCCCGGACACGGGTATCCCCGTTGCGGCCCGCTGGTGGGGGAAGGGGTGGAGGATCTTAGTGTTAATTATTCGATTTGTCCCCTTTTCCGTTTCCCTCCCCCCCCACCCTGCCGTTGCTACCACCAGTTGAGCCGCAGCGATATCGCCCCTTGGAAGGGCTGCCAACCGCTGGTGCTCTTCGGTGGCTCGGTGATAAGCGGTGGTGTGAGCGAGCGGGATGATGCGGTGCTCTGCGAGAGCCCCTTCGGGGCTGTGTGATACCTGCATGTGGAAATAGCGATAAAATAACAGCATCCCGCAATACCTGAGACCCTCTATTGGGAAACAATAGCTCACGGCAGTCCCTCCCCAGTGCCTCCTTTAGCCCTTATGTGCCACACGCGGGGCTGGGGTTGGCATGGAGCAGCACCCATAGCCTGTACCCTCCTGGTTCTACCCCCTGCTGTCGCATTTCACCTTTGTTTCTATGAGCACATACATCTGCAATAGGACACTGAGGAGCAAAGTGACGTTACTGTGTGCCTCCCGTAGTTGCGGGCGCACGTCTTCACGCATTGCATCTGCTACATATACTGGTATATTTCCATTCATTTTACATGTAGCATCCACATGTCAGGGTTGGCTTTTTTTTTTTTTTTTTTTTTTTTTTTTTTAACTTGGCTTAACTGCAGGAGCTGTAGTAGACTTCTCAGGTGAGTCCCCTAGTGGAGAACGGCGGCAAGTGGAACAAAGCTGAGGATATCGCTGCACCCCCTCGTGGAGCAGCGCTCAGCCTGGTACCCGTGTGAGCCCTGGGTACGAGGACGGGATGCTTTTTGTGGCTGTGCTCTTAATGTGGCAGATGCCTTGTACTGTGCAGGCACTGTAAAGGCAGAATGGGGCAGGAAGCATAGCAAATGGGGCAGGAAGCATAGCAAATGTGGCATAGTGAGGCATGGAGAAATGCTGCTCTGAAAGGATGCTATGGAGTGCTGTGTTGGGGGAAGAACGTCTTCAGTGCCTAGTGTTTGGCACTGAGACCCAGAGATAGGCTCTTGGTTGTAGGATGCTCCCAATGTGCATTAATGCACTGAAGTCCTAACATCCACAACCTTTCTCTCTTTGATTTCTTGTATATTCTTTCCTAATGATGCATCTAAATTTTTTTTCTCCTGTAAGCTGTGTGTTTGTACGCCAAGTTTTAGTTCAGGAATATTATTGTTTCTAACCTACCCATGTCATCATTCTAAAATCTAGGTAGTTAATCTCTAGGTGCTGTTTTCTTGGTTTGCTTTTCAGTAAGTGTCTTACTACTATTCCTTTTCATGTGCAGTGTACATTTGAAACAAATTTCTGTACATGCTGGTTATATGCTGCACAGTACTGCTGGATCCTGACAGATGGGTTGCTCTAATAACTCCTTAATGATGTGTAATCTGAAGCATGATACTAACTTAAATCGATCGAAATACAGAGACCTGATTTTGGCCTGAAATTGCACAGCCCTACAGAAGTTGAAGCAATTGTACACAGTGCTGAGTAAATTTCATTTCCCCTTAATAAGAGCTCTCTGATAAAGCCATCCCAAGCAGATGCTCCGTGTGCAAGGTTGTCAGTCCCTCTGTGCTGTGGCCGTAAGCTCTATACCTGTTTCAGGTTGAGCTTGAGTGAGGGCTGGCTAGTCCCCTGCTGTCCCTGATACCCGTTTCTCATCTAGCAGCTCCCCTGCCCTGTTTTCCTTATGCTTCACTGTTAACTCCTATGGGCTCCCAAAGCAGCTTGAGTGCAAACCTCAGAGCTGCAGTCTGGTGGATTTTCACAGCTCTCTCTCTGGCAAGAACTACAGGCAAGTGCTGTGGTTCTGTGGGGTTCCCCCCACCCACAGTTGTTTTTCATAGTTGCCTTGGCATTTGCATGGACCTAGGGAGAACTAACTCCCCCTAAATCAATTCTGTTGCTTTAAGTTCTTTTGCTCCCTTGTACTCCTGAGTTCAAGTTGGTGGTCCCTCATTCTTCTCTTGCATGTGGCTTCTTTTCTGAATGATAGTGTGTGTAATGCAGCAAGGCTTCTTCACATCCAGCTGGCCTCTGTGTGGCTGCAGGACTCTGCTTGTTCAATGTGGCTCTGTGATCCCATCCCATTCTTCTCTGTCCCTGCTGTGCTTGGCAGATGTCCTCAGTCTCTCCAGCTTTCCTGCTGTTGCTGTAAAAACACAGTACCTGAAAGCTTAGGGGAAGGAGGGAAAACTTGCGCAACTCAAACTCTGTCGCCAACTGATGCAGTATGCTTATCTGAGGGATTGTGGCTTTATTCTGGGTAGAGGTGAGGAGCCATTCCCTGTCCTGTCCTGTAGGTGGTGTGCAGTCGTTCATCAGACTTGTAGCAAAGATCTCTAAGTTTCTTATGGGCTGTGTCCTCAATCAGCAAAGACCCCACTCTGACTCTCAAGAAACCCTAATTAATGAGAATCTCTAAAAGGGCTTCCCGAGTATATTAATTTGGGGGGGGGGCAAAGGGGGGCGGGGGAGGAGGCGGTGGGAGCACTTGTTTGTGGTGTCACTGTATTT